CCTCTTGAACATTCAGAGTGCATATGAAATTCTAATGACGAAAGGTGTTCCCCGAGGGGATACATACCTAGAGTTTGTTTTGTGAAGCACGTCAATTCTCTCCTGGGGACCGTCTTCGTGAGCCTCTTATGGTTTCAGGATAGTTTAAATCCTGTGATGCTCCGATTCAATGCTCACCGATGATCTGAGCCATGGGGCAACTTTGTTTTCCTAAGAATCTTTGTGAACATTTCGAGAGCATATGTTTGAACATTTAGAGTGCATATGAAATTATATTTACGAAAGGCCGCCTCCGAGGGGATAAGACACCATGTCGAACATTGCATTTTTGTTCCTGCCTCTCGCGTTCTCTTCTCTTCCCGCTGTCCTACCTTTCGTGTCTCCCTCCTCTCAAGTTTCACCCTATATCACTGTTGCTTTGAAGACCCCATCTTTGCTTTTTTTTCCACTGTTTCAGAACTCAGCTCCGAAGCTCACTTTAGAGCCCAATGTGATGATTCAGATGCTTCAGCTCCTGCAAGCCGGGAGTACGCGCATTGACCGGTCGAGTCTGGTCGGCGCATTGACCCAAATCACCTGCCTAACGTGCCGTGGTGCGTCCGTGTGTTTTCTTGGGGTACACTACGTATAACTAGAAGCTGTATAATCTTGCTTTTCGTCCCGAGGAGCAAGTGCCGGTCTTCACCAAACTGGTTCTAATCCTGGCACAATGGCTTCTTGCCATCTTGGAACTACAAAAGACGCCGGTCTGCGCTCTCAGTGGCGGGAGAAGGCAGCATTTCATCCTGTGCAAAGGAACGCTCTCAGTGAGTCTTCACCTACAGGACCTAAAGCCCCTTAAGAGTCAAAAGGGCCTGTTTGAAGACTTCAGTTTGCGAGTTCTAGCACGGTGTCGAGTCTTTTTGTATTTGTATTTTTGTGAGGTCTCCTTAGATTGAGACCGGACACATACATAGGCGCTGGCCTGGAAGTTAGTTTGTTGTTTGGGCAAAAGAATCAAACCAACAACGAAGGAGTGACCCGGGGCCCCATGTCCCATTTCACAGTGGTCAGAGTTTTGTGTCCTTCCGGCGAACGAAGGCTTTAACATGGGACACCAGATGACCAAACACCAACCCAAACCGTGACATTCAGCCTGTTCAACGAACTCTTGCTTTTGCGGATGTGTTGGACTCGCCGTGTCGTCAGTCCTGCCCAGGAACTTGATCTCTCGTGTCGCCCACTTGGCACCCCTGCGGACGCAGATCCTGTTGGCCATCGCCCTTGTAGCATGTTGCAGAGAGGGCAATTGGGGGGGCAATGTGCGGAGTTGGGGCGGCGTATCCTCCGACCGTCCGGCAAGGATGGGAAAAATACCATGAACATCATTTAATCATATTTGATCAGAATAATTAATAATATTATTGCTTCTTTCTTAAAGTCAACATCACACGAGGATTCTGGTACCAAGATACGCCACCCATGTATGAAGAGAATAGTTGGCGCGGGATGTTTTGGCTTCCTTATTGGGGGGTCATTGCTTTTGACCCACACTGTGATGTGGGTGCAGGATCAAAACTGCAGGGCTTTTGAACACATATTTTGACTGACGGATATGATATGCAAGAATCTGTTGAATCTGTAAAGGTTGCTCAACCTCCCCGACAAAAGGCAATCAGAATATGATAATTATATGTCGGACCTATTTGGTTAAAAGGTTTTATTTTTGAAACCACTGTAAAACCGTGTTTTCGATAACTTCTTGCACAAAACACATCTCCCAGGAGCACCCGTTCTGTTGTTTGTCCCTCGCCGGCAGGATGGTTGACTTATCAATCCATCAATGCACACTTCCCCGGAGGTCCCCCAGCTCCAGCTTGTGGGATTGGCTTCATTAACCGAGGTTCCTGGCTTCATCCAATCGACTTGTTTGGAGAAGGATCGCACCAAGGGTCAAACAACAATCAACGTGATCTTAAAATGCATGATCTTAAGTCTTAAAGTGCTTTCTTTCCATGAACCCATCAACCGCAGACCACCCTCAATATCCAAAAAGTGTGTGATCAAATTTCAAGTAGCCAATTGCATCTAATTACAAGATACTGACAAGAAATGCTTCAAATCATCCTTCTCTCCTTGTGATTCTTCAGTTTTGGGGCCAACAAGACATCACTTTTTTCCTTTGATCCTTCCTATATCTCGCTCGGGCTCCGAACGAAAAACACAACAAACAAAAAACGGCCTGGCCGCCCTGGGCCAAATCGGCCAAGAGCCAAAACCGCTCGCAAGAAAAGCGACGGAGCAGGTGGCGTTGGTCGCGGCGCCTTGGCTCCTGCGTCTTTTGGACCGGATCTTAAACGTGCTTCCCATCACCGGCGCCGTGGCATGTAAACGCGCTGACGGACTGGACATACCGGGTCATATTCCAGTCCGTTCGCATGTGTGGAAGCAAGGGAAATCAGGTCGAAATGGTCAAATGGACGGATGCCAGCGAAAACAAAAGCCCTCAGAGCTGCGTAACCTACGTGGCCTACATGAGCATGACAGAACTCACCGGCAAATTGCGAAGGAGTTGAAGGGGAAGTACGTAGGAGATTACCTTTGAAAGTCTTGATTTTTAAGCAATCTGCATAGGCTCAGTCGACTGAGTTACTAGTTTCGAGAGGTGCTTTCGTCATCTCTACAGCTGAGATTGCATGGCAGGTGCGGAGCAGGGGAGGAGCGATGGATTTCGGGGGAAAAGGATCTCGGAGGAACCAGTTGAAGCAGTTCCACATGCAGAGTGTTTTCGTTTACCCTGCGGTTCGCATAGCTATCCTGGCAGCTATACTTGGAGCAAATAAGTCTGGGAGAGATTTGCAAGGTGTTTCTTCTTGGGGAGCTTTACAAGACCCCCAAAGGTATAGAGTAATTATAGAGGTCCATAGGCCCATAGGTCGTTCAGGGGTCTACCTATTTTAGCAACTAGAATAATAACATCTTGTCTTATAATATGCACCCACATTTTGATGTTTGCCTGCGCAGTCCCGTCAGAGCTCAATCTGCACCATGGGCACCATTTTTTTCTGTGTGAAACTCCTGTTCGGAGCGTAAAGTGGTCCATGCAGGTGAATTCGGTCTGAGGGCGATGACTGCCGTCGATCAATGGCTGTAAGGCTATAGTAGATAGCATTATGCGATAATATGGGCTTTCTACGGCTAATATAGCGCCCTATATCGAATGGTTCAAAAAAGGACTATATATGAGCCTATGGCTCTCGAGGTGTCTGTGCTTCCCATGTGGCTGAGCATCGCATCCGTTCCAACTGGAAATCGCCCATGGCGGCGCTCCGCATGGCGCCGCTCCGCGGCAGGCGATGTTGATTCAAGCTGACTGGTTCCTGCCTGACGCGCCGGAGCTGGCACCCGGCGTGGAAGTGGCACAGGCTGGGCCGGCGCAGGACGGCCTGGCTAGGCTACGGAGAGTTCTCTGCTCAAACGACTCGAT